TTTTGGGAAGGTGAGCATCACAGAATGCCAAATTATTAGAACAAAGTGTTCTTGCTTTGAGGGAGTACTTGAGTAGAGGCCCAACATCCATCTGCTACATTAGTACTTAACATATAAATATATGTACATAGATCTATTTCCATATTTTTATATATAAATATATTTACATATATACATGCCTGTATTTAGACCTCTATAAATGTCCTTTACCTCATAGTTTTTCCTCTATTTCCATTTACTTTCCTCTTATCCCACTATGAAGTTTGGCCTTCATTCGGGTTTCAGTAATTCCTCTTGGCTACATTGCCCTTGATTAAGCCTCACCAGGCATCCTGCACCCTCCTCACCATCAATTTTAGATCTCTTAATGTTCCCTTATCCCTGGATTTAACACCCACTTCTTTTTTTTTGACACCAACTTCTTTTCCCCCACCACCCCCTCTCCTGTTGTCTCCCCCCCAGAACTGTTGGTTCCGTTGTTTTCTCCTCCAGATTGTTTATCCACCTGTCCTATCTAGATAGACATGTAGAGACAATAATAAGCACAAACACAAGACAAAGCAAACAAAACAACAAAAAAACCAATGACAAAAAAAAGTTCCAGGTCTATTTATTGACTTGTAGGAGTGTTTTCCAGTTGAGTCCTATGGGGTGCCACGCCCTGGCCCCAAAGTCTATTTTTGGTATGCCCCGGGGACTTATTGCTTTGCTCCCCTTGCTGCTCTGTTGTACACCTAGTGTTTCGCCCCAGGTGGTGGGGTCAGATCAGGCACAATTGCCACACTGTGTCTCCAGTGTTGTCCCCTGTAGTGCTATGGGTCAGCGAGGGACATTGTGTCTGTGTCTCGTGGTGGGGCTGGCCCTATGGGCCTCTCTGAGCAGCATTATCATCCTAGAGAGGCTTGGTAGGCCAGAATGTGTTCCATTCTCTCTCCTTCCCTTTGTTTGCTCCTGTGTGCTCTGATCAGATTTGCCCCTCTCCCTGAGCTATAGCTTCAGTGCTGTCCTTTGGGTAGGGGGGCACATAGTTGGGATTGGGGCCTGCCCCACAGACCCCTCTATGAGTTCCGTTTCATGCGTTATGTTGTATTCATGTCTCGGTGTACCGGGTTGAAGGTCCCTGTCTCCCTCTGCTCCCACACGGTCTCCAAGAAAGCCCCATATGCAGAGTGAGGTCATGGACTCTGGGCTCACAGTGAGAACTCATGATACACAGAATCAGGGCATCTGTAGACTCTCCCGGACAGCCCTGAGCTCAGCAGTCAGGTCCACGCAGAGACGATTGTGGGTTTTTAAACAGTAGAATGGGGCAGAGGAGAAAAGATACGTTTGTAGGCTTAGGCACAAATATGAAAAGGAAAAATGGGAGTTTTTCAATGTTAACAAATGTGACAAGTTCATTAAAATCAGTTGAATCCAGAAATGGTGGGATGCTTGTTTTCCTGATGCCCCTTGCTTATTTCACGTTTGCAAATGGATGAAATGTCTACATTTTTATTTTACTGTTTCAGGTTTCAAAACCAGAACTGAGAACAGGGAGCTGATTCCAAAGCAAGAAATTCTAGAAGCCGAGTCGCAGCTGCAGATACAAGAAAGGCCTCAGGGAAAGGTTCCCCTGTTTGCGGAGTATGGTGCTATTTCCAAAGACAAAGTGGAAGAGCAGTCAAGAAATGCCTTGGTACTGAAATCTGAAAATTCTGAAGAACAAGGATCCACTAATTTTTCATTTCTCACTAGGAATGGTTCCTCAGAAGAGAGAGACCCTAAAAACAGTGAACTTGGGAACAGTGCCAAAAGCTCAAACACTGTCTTTTGTCCGCATGTTCAGACAGTAGAGGGGCCCATTAACAGTGATGATCGTGAAAATGATTGTAACGGGAGGTTAGATGCGGTGCAATGTCAAATGGTGATACGTCAAAAATCTGTTGCTGATGAGGAAGCTTCCCATAGCTCTGATCTTTTGGGGACCCAGAAGCAGACCTGTCAAGACAGACCTCATAAGTGTGGTGATTGTGCAAAGAGCTTCAAACAGCGCTCTGACCTCTTGAAACACCACAGGATCCACACCGGTGAGAAGCCCTATCAGTGTCAAGCATGTGGGAAAAGCTTCCGTCAGAGCGCTGCCCTGGTGAAGCACCAGAGGACTCACACTGGTGAAAAGCCATACACATGCTCCAAGTGCGGGGAGAGCTTCAGACAGAGCTCACATCTCAACCGGCATCAAAGGATCCACACAGGGGAGAACTACTGTCAATGTAACACGTGTGGAGAAACCTGCCACGTCTCCCACCTTCTCAAGTATCAGCGCATACATAAAGGTGAGAGACCCCACCAATGTGAAGGATGTGAGAAGAGCTTCAGACAGCGCTCTGACCTCTTTAAACATCAGAGGATCCACACCGGAGAGAAACCCTATGGATGTCCTGCCTGTGGGAAAAGCTTCCGTCAGAGCGCCACCCTCATTAAACACCAGAGAACTCACACTGGGGAGAAACCTTACAAATGTCTTGAATGTGGGGAAAGCTTTCGACAGAGTTCACACCTTTTCCGACACCAAAGAGTCCACAGACATAAAGTCTTACCGTCTTGACATGTTTCTGCATGAGTTTAGTGTGTGCATTCTCTTACCCAGAAATACAGCTTTTAGCATTTGGAGTACAGTGAACCCTCGCTACTTCGCGCTTCGACTTCCGCGGCTTCACTCTATCGCGGTTTTTGCGTAACAGCGCATGCTCTGTCATTACTGCCACTGATTGGCTCATACTGTACACGCTTGATGCCATAAATAATATAATAAATAATAAATGATAATTGTAATGTCCAAAATGTTTTACTGTATTTTCCCTTTTTCGTTTAATAAATTGGGTAATACAAGTGTAACGGTGACTAAAGGGTGTTTTTTCATGTCCTCTATGCTCTAACTACGAAAATATTTGATTTACAAATAAGGAATCCTACTTCGCGGAATTTCATTTATCACGGTAGGGTCTAGAATCGATTAACCGCGATAAACGAGGGTTCACTGTATTTCGGTCCATCAAGCAACAGCACGTGCTTGAACATCTCACACAAGATAGATTCCATCTGACTCTAGTCTCCTGACACATACTTTGATAAACTACTGCAGTGGAGGAGTTAGTAAGAAACCCCTCTGTAAGACGAGGTGGTTGTGTATGAGACATGGGAGTGTGAGAGCCGACCAAGCCAGAGCTCAGTGCTGTCTGCAGTCATTCAGAATGGCTGAGCTGTGCCTGTCAGCTCCTCCTCTTTGTTTTTGTACTCGTTCTCCCATTCACTGTTTGATCGGCTCCTATTGTCATTTAAAGCCCAGGGTTCCAGGATTGTCATCTATCTCTGCTTCACTTGGTTTCTCTGGTCCTTGTAGAGGGTTGGTGGGCAGTTAAGAAATAATTACATTTATAAGTAATCCCCTATAACAGCGGTTCTCAACCTGTGGGTCACGACCCCTTTGGGGGGATGTCAAATGACCCTTTCACAGGAGTTGCCCAATTCATAACAGCAGCAGAATTAGTTATGAAGTAGTGACAAAAATAATTTTATGGTTGGGGGTCACCACATGAGGAAATGTATTAAGGGGTCACAGCATTAGGAAGGTTGAGAACTACTGCCCTATATTATATAATAATCCCCTACATTTTTTAATTTAAAAACCTTTTGTAGAGTTCTTTCCATCTTAGACATTTAGGAATTAAGGTTCATAACATTTTTGTTTTCCTTTTAAGATGAAAAAGGCAAAAGACCATCTAATTCGCTGTCATTTTTCACTGCTCAGCAATTTATGGAATTTTATTCAGTAACTTTTTTTTCCCTCTCTAAAAATAAATACCCTCTCTTCCAAAGTTCTTCTTTATCAGTGAATCTTTAAAAATAACAAAAAATTGAGGTCCTAGACTGCTGGGATGGGCAATAACTCTGACACCCTCCCACCCCCCTTTTTAAAAAAAGATCAGTAGACTGCTTTAACTTTACAAGATGCTGTGAGGACTCCTGGTGGTGCAGTAGTTAGTGTCCAGCAATGAAGCGGAAGGCGGGCATTCTGAACCCACCAGCTGCTCTCCAGTACAGTTCTGCTTGTGCTTACCTTGTTAGCAGAGACCGACATCCTTCTTTCTAAATATAAAATGTGGTCTGATGCTTTATCCCCTTCGATTTCCAATGACAAAGGAAGAAACTCAGGTGATCAAATTGCTGGACGTGACCTTGAGGATGTTATTAAAATGTTAAGGACCTCAGTTCCTCCATTCGGAAAAGGGGAGTCATGACATCACTGCCTAAACAGTTACTTCTTAGAAAAAAACTTTGTTACAGATACATGAACTGTTTAGACAGTGGTGTCAATCTGAGAGTATGAACCCATTGCTAGCCTATTACTGCCTCTGAATCTCCAGGAATGAGTAGCCCTTGGCTGTAAAAGTCTGTGTAATACTTTCCTGTATGAGCCACAGACAATCTTAAATTGCACATATCCATCATGGGGAACCACAAAGTTACTATGCTTTCATCTGCCTTGACTAGAGATGAAGGTGTAGGGATTCCCAGACAGACTAGGTACACAATTTCCTATCAAGTAACTCCTGACGGCAGGAAGTAAGCCCCAGAGAGAGGGTCCCCAGAGAAGCACCGCTCCAGTTCTTTTTATTACAGTTCAAGCAGCACAATATACTTGCGGCAGTGATTATGACGGGAAGCCAAAAAGTATTCCTACAAAATCATAGAAACGTTTATTCAAGAAGATAAAAATGTGAAGCTATTGTTTGACACAATAGACATCTGGGTCGAACCACTTTAGAAGGTGGTATTCTCGTTTCTTGAAACTTTTCCTGAAGAATTCTGTGCTCCATTGACTGACATGTCAAAAACAGCACGTTTGGCATCCGTAAGAGACTCAATGGGTGTTCCTTTCAATGGGGAACAAATTGGAATAGAACATGATCAGGGCTCTAAGAGTGGATGGGATAAAGTTTCACAAGAATTCATTCACCTTGTTACCCTTGGAAGGAGGAGTAGGGACGTGGTCATAACTGAAAGATTCCCTGACACACCATTGCTGGCCTTTTGAACTTTTTCATTAATGGTCTTAAAATCTTCATAAGTCCTCATGATTGCCCTGTGCCCTTCAAGAAAATCTGCCATGGTTACCCCTCAGCTTCCAATGTCCAAAACAGATGCCCTCCGACAGCCCCTACTTTGATTTGGCTTTGTGTTTGTTTGAAGGCACCCTAAACATGATGAAGACCAGTGTTATTTCAGAGCATACTTGTCTGCACAGCTTGCAGGGACATGCTTAGACACGTGTGGTGTGGAACAAGCCGGTGCATGTCGGAGCTGAAACTTTGGGACTTATCTTCTGAGATTCTAATGGTAGCTGTTCCTGTCACGTGGCTATCTGTCCTCTGTGAGTGCCCTGGTGCTTAATAAGGCTTGTGCGCCAACTGAAAGATTTACCACATTTGTTACATCGGAAGGGTCTTTCTCCGGTGTGAATGACTTCGTGTCGGTAAAGATTCGACTTAAAACTAAATGTTTTCCCACAGTCTCTACACTGAAAGAATTCCTTCTTGGTGTGGGTTCTTTGATGCTGAACGAGATCTATATTCCGACCAAAGGACTGTCCGCATTCACTGCACCGATGGGTGTTCTGCCGAGTGTGAATGTGTTGATGGCTCATAAGGGTTGAGTGCCTACTGAAGGCTTTGCCACATGCCAGGCATTTGTGGAGTTTTTCACCACTGTGGGTCAACTGATGCCGAATACGGGTGGAATTCTGACTAAACGTTCGCTCACACTCCCCACATTTGTAAGGCTTTTCTTTGGTATGAGTCCTTTTATGCTCAGCGAGATAGGAGATCAGACGGAAACACTTCCCACAGTCGTGACATTTATATGGTTTTTTGGGGGGGTGACAATATTTATGGACTGTCCTAAGAGGGGATTTCTGTTTGAAGGCTTGTCCACATGTGTCACACTCAAGAGGATTCTCTGAAGTGTGGATTCTTTGATGTCGAACAAAATCTGCCTCACACCTGATGACTCTCCCACATTCCCTGCATTCGTAACATTTCGATGCTGTGAGAACTTGCTCAGGCCTGCAAAGCAATGGCCTCTGACCAAAGGGTTTCCCATAGGCACCAAATGGGCCCTGCTGCTTTGGTTGAGCATTCTGATTGTCAATAAAATTAAGGTTTTGAAGGAAGCTCTTCTTATATCTGTTACCACTCACAGGCAGTACAAATCTGAACGTGTCTGCAAACTCAGGACATCCGTGCTGCCTTGCAGAGGGCTTCTGGGGCTTCTCTTGCTTTCCCGCGGACGCCTTGTGTGGCACCAAATCTTCAGAATGTTTTTGCATCGCAGTGAGCCTTTTCTTGCATCTGGCTTCAAACCCTAGTCAAACAAAAGGGAATATATCACTGCCCTGTCTACCACAGAAGGGGAGAGGGAAAAGGGGTGAGGAGCTGATTATTTGGGATATAAGATAATAGAATTTCTTTTTTCTTTTTTTAAGATAATAGAATTTCTAAATGCTCACTTGGTTACAACATTATACCAAGAGGCCAAAGTTATGAATTTTAAAATAATAATATTCATTCACCTTCATACCAGAAAGAGCTCTTTGCATCAGCTCACTAAAAAATTTTTTTAAATCATTTTATTAGGGGCTCATACAACTCTTATCACATTCCATACATACATCAATTGTGTAAAGCGCTATGTACAGTCATTGCCCTCATCATTCTCAAAACATTTCCTCTCCACTTAAGCCCCGGCATTAGGTCCTCATTTTTCCCCTCCCTCCCCGCTCCCCTCTCCCTCATGCGCCCTTGATAATTTATAAATTGTTATTTTGTTATATCTTGCCCTGTCCGACATCTCCCTTCACCCACTTTTCTGTTGTCCGTCCCCCAGGGAGGTCACATATAGTTCCTTGTAATCAGTTCCCTCTTTCCTACCCACTCTCCCTCTACCCTCCCAGTATCGCCACTCGCTCCACTGGTCCTGTAGTGATCATCCGCCCTGGATTCCCTGTATTTCCAGTTCCTATCTATACCAGTGTACATCCTCTGGTCTAGCCAGAGTTGCAAGGTCGAATTTGTGTCATGATCATGGGCAGCTCACTAAAATTACACATAATTTGTGTGCCAGAAAACAGGAGACTAGAACAAGTCTATTGCCAGTATTGGAAAACCAACTTACTTTGGTTATGCAATCCCGGTAACAACTAGTAGTGTCGATACATCTAGATAATAGCATCTTATGCTTTCTAGATACACGTTTGTTGTAATTCTGGGTGAGGGGAAAAAATAATTAGCTGGAATTCTATGTATTCAATAAGACCACTCTGGTTTCTATTGAGAGTAAGAGTGAGTGAGAGAGAGAAGTATTAGAGCAGAAAAGGAACCAGAGGAAATGGGTACAAATGTTCATTGAATAGAGCAGTAGTTGGTTCTCAACCCCGGCTGGTTTATTCCCCTTGCAGACATGTAGCAATGTCTGGAGGCATTTTTATACCAATGAGGTGGTATTGCTGGCACGTAAAGGTCAGGGATACTGTTAACTACCCTTCAATATGTATGGGACCCCTCCCCTCCCAAACAAAGAGTTATCCAGCCCATAACATCAGTCGTGCTGAGGCTGAGACACTTTGGGGTAGAGGGATGCGAAAAAGCATGGGAGGGCTATCAGGAAAAAATATGTAGAGAAATACTGAGGAAATGTGAAAAACAACATGAAGGAAGGGGGACAGCAGGTAGTATGGCAAAGGTGAAGCAGAGAGTAGAAGGACAAGAGGACCCAGGACAGCTGCCACTTAGAAACAGCACCCTGCCGTGCAAAGAGGGTAAACTTTGCAGAGCCTTGTAAGCAAGCCCCAATTTGTCAACCTAAGACAGGTACCTAACTCTTTTCAGTTTCTTCATCTGAAATGATGAATGATCATCCTTCCTGCTACTTTCCCAGGGTGGTAGGGTTAAATACATCAAGCACCTGGCTCAGTGTTTGGTGCACAGAGGGGACCCCATTTCTGTGACTTCCCTTTTTACTCAGTTCCCCTGACTGGGTTCTCTTCTTCACCCACCTGGGCATGCGATACTGGAAGCCTTCCTATTGCAAGTTCTCGGTAGATGCGAGATCCATGGCTCTTCCCAGTCTTCCAGCTGAGAGATCACATCAGGTTTGGGGAACTGAAATCCTACCCATGGGGAAGTAAATGGGATGTGGCAGTTAGTGAGGTACAGAGCAGTGTCCCCGAGCTCTATCTCCCTGGTCTACGGTGGTAAGCAGAGACGTAAGGCAGGCGTTTGAAAGGGTTAGTGAGAATACAAAGTGGCACAATCTTTGTAACTACTTGGCAGTCTTTTTTGAAAGGTTTAACAACATCCAATATCCACCAGAGACGTAAGGCAGGCGTTTGAAAGGGTTAGTGAGAATACAAAGTGGCACAATCTTTGTAACTACTTGGCAGTCTTTTTTGAAAGGTTTAACAACATCCAATATCCACCTGGTCATTTCCACCTTAGAAACAGCTGAAGGAAAAACCGGAGCGCACATTAGTGTACCGGAGATGCTCAACAGTGGCGTAAGAGGACAAAGCCGGGACCCAGCTGAAAGTCAACAGGGGAATGATAACACAAGTATGGAGAGGCCTGCTTATGAGGCAGACATTAAAATCACACGCTCAAAGAATACTTATTAACATAGGAAAATGTTTCCTATCTATTTAAAGTAGAGGACAACATTTATATGCAGCCGTTTGCTGTTGTTTTTAAAAAGGCACATAAAGGGACTTGAAAGAGTAAAACCAGGCTCTAACAGGGGTCCTTTCTGGGCACTGGGCCTCCAGGGCTTCTGATTTCCTCCAGTCACCAGCAGACCCCGCCCCGCCCCCGAAGCTCCATTATGAGCACGTATTATTTTTGTAACTAGTGAAATCCCTAAAGGAAAGCACTCTCAAATCCTCCTGTTTAATATACAAAATAGTACACATTTTCTTGAAACAAAAATTTTAAAAAACCAGTAACAAACAAGGGCAAGTCAAAAGTATATACCCTTGACCGAAGAACGGTCTTCCTTCTATCGGGGAAGGTCGTCCTCTTCAACCAAGCACGCAGCTTCGGGAGGGACGCACATGGAGCGGTGAGGGAGGAAGGGGACACCCGCCTAGCCAGCCAGATCAGCCGAATCAACCCTGGCGATCAATGGGGTGACAGATGTCGCCGCCAGATCGCCCTCACTTCCAATTATGGGCCTCTTAATAACAGGGAAATGTTGATATAATATTAAGGTTTAAAAGAATTATGACACGATCTACAGAACGTAAGAAGCTTTAGTGGTTCTCTGGGTTAGGCATTGGGCGACTAACAGAAAGGTCGGCAGTTCAAAACCACCAGGTTCTTCCTTTATGAGAGTGATGAGGCTTTCTGCTCTCACAAAGCTACCCCAGAAACCCTACAGGGGCTGCTGTGCTGTCAGAACCAACTTGATGGCAGTGGATTTTGTATGTTTTCATACAGAATATGTGCAGATACATTTCTGTTGAAAGCACAGGATGTAAGACTGGAAGAAAGTACGCCAATATGTAAAGTGTTACACTGGAATATTTTTCTTTCCCTTCACATTTTCCTATCCCTTCCACAATCATGCCCTGTACGCCTGTGCCCAGAGTATCAATATGGGGGTCAAATATGTGGGGCCCCAAAGGAAAACTACTATCAGCTCTTACACCTCAGAAAGGGCAGGGACATTCCCACAGTCGGATTGGAATAAAGCCGACACAGGCTGTTGGGAAGATGGAAGGAGTGAAGGTTCAGAAATGGAGTTACCATAATTAAGAATGGTTTCAAGGGGGAAGTTACCCATCCCACAGGTGTGGGAAAACAAACAAACAACCTTTCAAGAGAAGCAGAAGCTGGCCTTTGGAATCCAAGTTGGCCATAGTCTTTTCTACTCTTTGAAGCCTCGTAGTCTAGGGTCCTCATCAGGCAACCCTGGAGACTGACGCACTTCCGAACTCTTAAGGGATTTTATATGTATACATACACCATCTATATCACATATTAGATATGCCTGTGGATGTCTACACCCATACCCATATATAACTCTCATATTACATATTAAACTCTGTCATCAGGTTGATGCCGACTCACAGCGACCGTAGAGGACAGGACAGAACTGCTCCTGTGAGTTTCTGAGACTGTCACTCCATGGGAGTAGAAAGCCCTGTCTTTCTTCTGCGGAGTGGCTGGTGGTTTAGAACTACTGACTTGATGGTTTAGCCACCCAGTGTGTAACCACTATACCAGGAGAGCTCCTTGATTTATGTTTATATTATATAATGCCCCCAAGAGGGCTTAGAGTGCCATCCCCACATTGATCTTTCTGGAACTACCAGTGGTATATAGATATGCATACCGCATGGGAAAAATAAATAGCTGCGTGTCAGATAAAAACAAAACAGGTTTTGCCACCTGATAGTTTCAGGTCAGATTTTTGTAGCCAAATAAGTTAGGAAAAAACCTGCCAGTTTTCACCTTTTTCTGATTTGGGAATTACAGATTGTTTGGGCCGGTCCGGACCACGCAGCCGCTTCCCCCAGCTCTCCCGAAAGACGGCCTGCTGGACTGTGGGGCCCCTTCCCCCGCCTCGCAGGCCAGAGCTGGACTGTGCAGTCCCTGCCTCCAGCGTTCCAAGGAGCTTATCTCTCTGAGCCGGGTCTGTACAGCCCCTTCCCTCAGAGTTCCAGGACGATTTACTCACAGACCACAGCCTGACTCAGACCCTGCCACTGCAGCCCCAGAAGGCTTTCCTTCCCCTTATCAGCGCACACGTCCTTGGCTCAAGCCCTAGGTATGTCCCACTGCCTCGCTGCCAGGCGCGATTCCCTGACCTAACTCCTTGGGTCTCAGAACCTGCCCGGGGGCTCAAGATGCCCCCATCCTTCTCTGGTCTCCCTTCCCTCCCAGGAGTCCTTTCCCTGCCTCAATAACATCTTTCTCAACTTCACATTCCTGGCTAAATTCTATCTTTGCTCCACATCTCTGTCTCCAACCTCTCATCTTGGTGCCAAAAAGACATGGGACTGACAGGAGGGGCCTCTGTGCTCCCAGGCCTTCCTCTGGGCGGTGCACAGCCCCGTCCTCCATTTTCAACCTCTCACAGAAACAGGTCTGAAAATACACAAAGCCAAATCTCAGCGACCCAATCATTACCCAAGAAGATCATGTTTCTGTAATTCTCCAGCATAACATCTCTGTAGAGGTACTTCTGGGTCCAGTCAAGGTTTTCCCACTCCTCTCTGGTGAAGAACAGAGCCACATCATCAAATGACAGCAACTCCTGGGGAGAAAAAAGAGCCCCCCCCAATGTGAATAATCATAATGTCACTCCTTACAGTGACCAGGTCGGTTATTCTTAATCATTCTTTAGAGAGGAGAAAGTTTTGATGAACAAAAGTGATTTGGCCAAGGTCACTCAATCAGTAGAGGATTTAGGGCTCAACTCAGGTCTCTCGACACTCAGGCCAGGTATGTTCTTTCTTCTATACCATGTGCCAACACAAGGGCTAAAGAATAAATATTTTTGGCCTTACAAAACATTTGATCTCTGCGGCAACTATTCAAATCTGTTAGTACAGCACAAAAGTAGTCATGGTCAACAGGAAAATGAGTTGGCATGGCTGTGTTCCAATTAAACTTTTCAGGATCTAGGCCAGCAGGAATAAGAGGAAGAGGAGGAAGGCTGGTGGCTTGTCTCTTTTGTGGATATCAGACAGGCCACACCCCAAGGGGATGTCATCAGACTGTGCCCTGAGTGGACACCAGTATGCAGGGAAGTACTTTTCACAAGGGCAAAAAGGTAGAAACAACCAAAATGTCCATCAAGCGATCCAGGGAGAGACAAAAAGTGGCACGCACACAACAACAGAATACCACACAGCCTTGGAGCTGCAGGAAGTCCTGAAGGGCCACAGCACAGGTGACTCCCAAAGGACGGATTCTGTATGTTCTCACTTGTATGAAAGCAGCACATAGCTGGGCTTAGGAGGTACTGCTAATAGTGGTGGAATAGTTGGGAAAAGGATAGCGGGATTGGCTGAAAAATGGGAAGAATATAACCAACGTTACTGCATTGTACACACAGAAATTCCAGAGATGCATATATTGTTACATGTATCTTTCCCACACATTAAAACAACACACCACAATGTATCAGACAATAGCACATACAGAAGACTGATGGAAGGAAAGAACAATGCACACTACTACTGTGTACAGAACCTTTTGTACATCAGGGAAAGGCTGGAGATGAATCAAGAAAAGCTGGAAAATGGAGCAATAGGGTCAAAGGGCTGCAATCCACATTCCTGTCCTGTCCAAGAGCCTTCCTTTCACATTGTTGGAATAGCTTCCTAAAGTTTCTCCACCCACCTGGCCTGCCCCACCCACCCCACCCTGTTTTTCTTAAAAAAAAAAAAAGGTAAAAATATAATTCCTAAAATATTTGCCTGAAAATCCACATTTGCAATTCAATGACGGTGCATGTCGTGCCACTTTGTCTCCTTACTTTAAATTCAACTTCTTCCAATCACCTTGCAAAAGATGACAAATCCCATAACTAAGCTTCCATTCCATCTTCTGATACCAATCACTAACCATCCAAACCAAATCCACTGCCATCAAGTTGAGGCCGATGCATAGCAAGCCTGTAAGGCAGGGTAGAAGGTAACACATCTGAAAAGTACCATAGCCTGGATTTGAACTTATCTGACTACAAAGCTCAAGCTCTTTACATCATCCTTTCTAAGAGGAAAAAAATCCCCAGGTGGATAAAGGTTCCACAAAGGAGTTAAAGCTGTTACCCTGGCCCACCCACTCCCATTAGGCAGGACAGCTGCACCGGAGGGGTTTCAAGGCTGTCAATCTTTACAGAAGCTCACGACCACATCTTTCTCCCCAGCAGCTGGCAAGTTCACAGAGCTAACCCTTTGATTAACAACCGAGTGCTTGAACCACTGTGTCACCAGGACTCCTATTCTGGCAGCAGAGATGATATCGAAGAAGCAGAGGAGGAAGGAACTCCAGCTCACCTTCCACCTGGCTGTCAGGAGCATAGCTTCCACAGTCTGGTCTTTGAGATGGGGCCCGATCCTGGTCTCCAGGCTAAGGTGGAAGGTAAAACAAACAATCAAAAACAGTGATCCAGACCTGAAGCAATTTGAATCTTACTAGAAAAACCCAAGACAGGAATTCCAAGAAGGCCAACAATGAGGCCCTCCCAAATACCTCAACTGATATGAAGTCAGATATGTGAATCTTGTCCAAAGGTTTCTCCAAGGGAACCCTTAGCCCTACCAGCCCTTGTGCTGCAGTAGCTCAGCTGAGAGGGAATCTCAGGAGTTACCAGGGGATTCAAGCTGCACAAAAAGCTGCATATTATGTATAAGGAGGTACTCTTGTGGCACAGTGACTACACACTGGAAGGAGAAAGGGCCTTTCTACTCCAGCAAACTGTTACAGTCTTGGAAACGAAGGACGCTATGAGTCAATACTGACTCGATGGCAGTGAGGTTTTGGTTTATCACATAGGAGGCCATTATAAAGTCAATATGGTTATTCTCAGGGCTTCTACTCAAGTGATGAGATTCAGGTGATTTCATGTTCTTCTTGTGCTTTTCTTTAAGTTGAATTCTACCATGAACTTACGTTACCCTCATTGAACAAACAAGCCCACACCCACAAGGAATAGATTTTAGCTCCGCCCTTGCCCAGTCATTTGGCAATAAAATTAACCATCAGTTTGGCTTGGCCTGGAGACATTAATTTCCCAAGTTGTCCTTTCCCCCACCCCTCCATCCAGTCTTACAGCTCCAGAAAGTGAGATCCTTCCAGGCCGTGTCACATAGCATTATCGTTGTGCTAAAGAAGTTTTAAAAATCCTCCTCTGTTCTAACAGCCTCATTCATCCACTAACACCTGAGCTCCTCGCTGCCAGAGTGACTTCCTGTCTGGGAAACCCTAGAGAAGGGCGCTATGTACTCCACAGCGGCGGCAGTTTGGCCTTTGGTTTGATTTGACTGGAAGCCACAAGGAGCCTGGTGGCGCACAGTGTGCTACCAGCTTCGGTGAACTGCGCTGGGCTTGGGGGGGCGGGGTGCATGTGTGTGAAATCTACCAACGAGCCTCTCTTGGGGCGGGGGGACGACAATGCGGTAGTCGGTTCCCTAAAGATGGACAGCTTTGCAAATCTGTGCGGGCAGTTCTATAGGGTCACGGCGAAAGCAGGAATCGGCTCTACAGCAATGAGCCTTCTACTGTGAATCAACCAGGCATTTGGAAGTCGGCACCATCGCATAATCTACAGTGCTATTCAGAACACCGGGAGCTACTTAGACGTGTCACACCCCGCGTCGCCCCCCACGCCCCCGCTAAAACCAAGTGCTAGCCAGATGCTTATCCCTCGGACTTCGTTCCTCTCCCACGCTGAACACCAGACACCGTCCAAACGAATACACAGATCCTGCCACGGGCCCTGAGGAAGACACCCCGGGGGCGTCCTGCGACGTGTCCGCTCGGTTTGTGGACAGCACGGTGACATCCCCGCGGCGCCGAGCCCTCCCATCCGACTGGCTGTCCCTCAAACCTGCTCGGCGCCGTCTTGGGTATCTACCTGCGGGGGCTCGGAGGCTGGCCTCTCCGGGTTCCGCAAAGGACCGGGAGGGGGGAGACCAGACAGCCGCTGCTCACCC